GGTCAGGCGCTCCGCCACTTGCGCGAGATGTGCTCGAGCGTCTCGGTGCTCGGATGCCGCAGCGAGGGCGAGCGTCAAGGCCCCCCCCCCCCCCGTGACCCCTCCCCCCCCCACTCCCCTCCCCCAGGTGCTCGGCTGCTACCCGCAAAACGGGCTCGTGCTGCGCCCCGCCGACGGATCGCCGCAGACCGACGCCTCTCCGCCCGCCTCCTCCGGCGCGCGCGTGTCGCACGGGCCAGCCACGCGGCTCCGCGTCGGCATCGTCGGCTTCGGAACCTTCGGCCAGTTCCTCGCCCGCCGCTGGGTCGGGCGCGGCCACGCTGTCTTCGCTCACTCGCGCGGTGACTACGCGAAGACGGCGGCGGGCATGGGGGTGGCGTGGGTGCCAGACGCGGCGGCGCTGTCCGAGCTGAGCGTGGACGTGCTCTTCGTCGCAACCTCGATCCTCTCGTTCGAGAAGGTGCTGCGCGCGCTGCCCGCGCCGCTGCTCGAAAAGGCGCGCGGCCTGCGGCGGAGGGGTCTGTGAAGCGAGCGGCGGTGGGCGTGGGCGCGACGCGCCCGCGACGCGCCCGTGTCAGGCGCTTGTGGTAGACGTCCTCTCCGTCAAGGCGCACGCCAAGCAGACAATGCTCGCCGTGCTGCCCCCGACCGCCGACGTGCTGTGCACCCACCCCATGTTCGGGCCCGACTCTGGGCGGCACGGCTGGCAGGGCCTGCCTTGCGTCTACGACCAGGCGCGCGCCGCGCCGGACGCCGCCGACTGCCGCGGCGCTGTGAACGGCGCCTCCGGACGTCGCCTCTTGTTGCGAGCAGGTGCGCGTCGCAGACTACCACCGAGCCGCGCGCGCGCTCGCCCTCTTCGAAGACGAAGGCTGCCGGGTGGCCAAGCTGTCGTGCGGGGCGCTGGACGGCTGTCGATTGAGCGGGCGCCTTGTGTGCTAGGCTGCCAGATGGTCAAGCTGTCGTGCGAGCGACACGACGCGCTCGCCGCCGCGTCGCAGTTCGTGACGCACCTCACCGGCAGACTCCTCTCCAAGCTGCAGCTGCAGCCGTCGCCGATCGCGACGCAGGGTTTCAAGGCGCTGCTCCAGCTCGTCGACAACACGCGCGCACCGCCCTCGCTCGGCCTCTTCTGCGCGCGTGAACGGCGTCTCTTCACAGCGGCTGGAGTGTGGACAGGTGCCGCGACTCGTTCGACCTCTTCTACGCGCTCTACTCGCACAACGCAAACTCGAACGACATGATGGACCAGTTCGGCGCCTCTTCTCCTCCCCACCCCGGCGGGACACCTTCCGGACCCCCCCCGCAGCTCCTCGGAGCCGTCCCGTAGGCGCCGCCTTCTCCGAGCTCCGGCGCGAGATACTCGACTTCGGCGCGGCGCCGCCTGCGCCGGCCGGTGAGATTGCAATCTCGCGCACCGTCGCGGCGATGCCCGCGTCGGCGACGGTCGCCATCTCGGATCTCGCCATCGAGCTCAAGCGGCAGGGCAAGCCCGTCATCTCCCTCTCGGTCGGCGAGCCCGACTTTTCGCCTCCGCCCGAGGTGATGGAGGCGGCGCACGAGGCGCTGCGCGAGGGCAAGGTCAAGTACACCGCGCTGGCGGGGTCGCACGAGCTGCGCTCCGCCGTGTGCGACGATTTGCTCCGCCGGAAGGGCCTCAAGTACGAGCCGTCGCAGGTGGTCTGCTGCTGCGGCGCGAAGCAGGCGATCCTGCAGGCTGTGCTCGCGCTGTGCAACCCAGGCGGCGACGTCACCGCGCCGACGCCGCGCTGCGACATGTCCAGGACGCGTCCTCTTGACGCCACAGGCGACGAGATCATCGTGCCGACGCCGTACTGGCCGTCGCACCTCGGCACCGCCCAGCTGCGCGGCGCGTGTGCCGGACACGGCCATGACGTGGTGCGCGACATGTCCCGCAGGCATCCCTCAGCTCTGTGGCGCGACGGCCGTGCTGCTCGAGACGCGCGCCGAGGAGGAGTACGTGCTGCAGCCCGCCGCTCTCGAGGCGGCCTCCCACGCGCCGAGGACGACGCTGCCCGAGACACGTCCGAGACACGTCCCGAGACACGTCCCTCGCAGGCGGCCATCACGCCGAAGACGAGGCGCCCCTCCCGCCCCACAGCCTGCCCCAGCTTGCCCCAGCCCACCCCACAGCCAGGCAAGAGCCTCCTCCTGCCCTGCTAGGATGCTCATCCTCTGCAACCCGTCCAACCCGACCGGCGCTCTGCTCCCGCGCGCCGCCCTCGAGGGCGTCGCGGCGGTGCTGCGGCGCCACCCGCAGGCCATCGCCCTCGCCGCCCGACCCCGCTCCGCCCTCGGCCCAGATCTCGGCCAGATCTCGGCTGGACCTCTGCCGGATCTCGGTTTCCGCCAGATCTCGGTCGCCTCTCGGCCGCCTCTCGGCCAGATCTCGGCTGCCTCTCGCCGTCTGCAGGTCGTCGTCCTCGCCGACGAGATCTACGAGCTCATAGCGTACGACGAGCCGCACGTGGCCTTCGCGACGCTGGAAGGGATGTACGAGCGCACCCTCACCGTCAACGGCTTCTCCAAGGGGGCGGCGATGACGGGCTTCCGGCTCGGCTACGTCTGCGGCCCGCACGGCGCCATCAAGGCGATGGCAAAGGTGCAGGGCAACAACACGTCCTGCCCCTCCTCGATCGCACAGCACGCGGGCGTCGCCGCCGTCACGCACGCGCACGGCGCCTTTGCGGAGGCCGCCACCGCAAACTTCCGGCGCAAGCGCGACTACGTGGTCGGCCGGCTGCGAGGCATGGCCGGCGTGAGCTGCCCGGTGCCGCAGGGCGCGTTTTACGTCTTCCCCACCGTCTCGGCCTTTTACGGCCGCACGGCCCCCTCGGGCGCCGCGCCGCACGACTCGACCTCGCTGTGCGTGCCGCGCCGCCGCCCGGCCCTCGCTCCCTCTCCTCTCCTTCGCCGACCCGTCTCTTCTCCCCCCCCCCCCACCCCCACCCCGCGGCGGCAGGTGCGACTACTTGCTGCGCGAGGAGCATCTCGCCCTCGTGCCCGGCGCCGGCTTTGGCGCGCCCGGCTGCGTGCGCATCTCGTACGCCACGTCGATGGAGGCGCTGCAGGAGGCGATGGACCGGATGGAGCGCGGGCTGGCCAAGCTCTGCAAGTAGTCACACGCGGCGACACCGCTCGGCATCGCGCCCCGATCGCGCATGACTGTTGACTCTGGACCACACGAGCTGTTAGTTAGCGGCGCCGTCTATTTGCCGCACTATCTTACCGTGCACGCGGAGTCCGGTCCGGGCGGTCGCGCCGCCACCGCGCATGGAACATTAAAAAACGAGAGAAAGCACATGTTCGTGACCACACCCACCGTCACCGCACGTCGCGCTACTCATGATTCAAACGCGCCACTCAAACGACTGCGCACGAAACCTTCCAAAGCCCTGCACCCGGCCTGTGATGTCGACGCAGAGCTCATCGAGGGGGCCGTCCGTCTTCAGCGCCTGCCGGGTCTTCCAGTCTTGCACGCTGAGCACCTGCAGCCACGAACCAGTCGCCACGAAGAGATGCTGGCCGTCCGGCGCGATGGCCAGCGCGCGGACATCTCGCTCGCACTGCAGCAGCACCCGCACGAATGTTCCGTCCGCTTCGAACACGAGGAGCGCACCGCCACGGTTGCCGACAAAGACTTTGCCGGCCGCAGCGGCGACGCTGGTCGGCCGATCGATGCGCGGGTGCCCAAAGTCGTGTGCGTGCGCGAGGGTCGTCTTGTCGAGGATGTGGACGCGGTTGCCGTACGGGTCGCACACAAAGAGCGACGAGCCGGCGACTGTGCACGCACGAGTGATGACCCCGGGGCCGGCACCGAAGCCCAAGGTCGGCGACGTGCGCACGCGCTCCCGGTCGTCGAGTCGGATCAGGGTGACGCTTTCTTGAAGGGGCTCGATCACGTACAGGAAGTCGCCGTCCGTGGTCATTCCACGCGGGTCTCTGAGTTTCGCGCTGAGCAGAATATCCGCCGCGAGGGTGGACAAAAGTCTGTCGGGAGGGTGCGTCGAGACAGACATGTCCATGGCACATCCAACCAACACGAGCGCACCGCCGCCAGCCGTTGCCGCCGCTCCATAGCAGATTGCTGCTGCGAATGGCACGACACGAGTGGCCAAGAGGATGCGCCACTCGCGCGCCGCCACAGCAACGGCCATAGAAGCTGCGCGGCACGTGAGCGCGAAGCGAAACACACGGAGCAGGCTCGCCTGGTCCCAGCAGCCGCTGCGGTCGGCCGTCTCGACGATGCGAACCTTTTCGGCGATGATAGTGAGGAGGTCGACGTCGGAGAGCACCCGTGCGGCCGCGGTCGTCATATGGGGTCGGCAACGAACCGCCGGTTTGCCGTGCCTGGGGAATTCCTGGCGCCCACCGCACACGACAACACAAACTCTCTCACACGACAGGGTTCGGGCTCCTAGCTAGCGAGGTAGGTATGATGTACCGCGTCGTGCGTCGACCGTGGTACTGAAGCGTGATCAATTTTGCCTCAGATTTTGCCCCAGACCAGCTCTCAGACTCAGGGAAAACAGCGAGTTTCCAGAATGGAGCACCAAACACCCTCTGTTTTCCCTGGAAATTTCCGGAAACGCAAAGTGCTGGGGACCCTCTGTATTCCTTTTTGTTTTCCGGAAAACTGTGCTCAGCCCAAGGCCCACACTGCACCACACCGCGCTTCACCGCGCCTTTTCGCGCCACGCCCATGGGGTCGCCCCAGCTCTCCCCTCAGGGCATCCAGCTCAGCCAGCAGCAGCCGCGCCTCCGCCATCGCCGCCACCTCATCCCGCTCGCGTCTCCTCCGCCGCCTCGACGCACGACGGCCGACTCAAGATCGCCCAACATCTCAGGAGCCGAGCCCTGGCAAAAGGAATTAAAAGTCACGCTGACAACACGAGGCACGATGGGCTTCGGCGTGGCGAGCAGCGCGGGCGAGAGAGGGACGGCGCGCGGCTCCCAAACGAGCCGCACGGGCTTCGTCTGGGCCGCCGAGGCCACCTCCTTGGTCGAGGCGGCGGGCGTGATGGCGAGGTGGCCCGAGGCAAGCGTTGAACGTGCCGCCTTGCGCCCCTGAGGAGGGACGTGCGTGGGGTGCCACGGGCGGGGGGGGAGAGGTGAGAGGAGAGCGGTGGTCACCCCCACGAGGGGTGCGCGGACGCCGTCTGCCCCCCCCAGCCCGCCACTGACGCCGTGGCCGCGGCACGATCGAGGGCGCTGGTCGGGCGGGCCGTCTGAGTCGCCCAAGCGGTGCTCTGCCGGCCGGTGGACGCGCGCGAGGGTGGCCCGAGAGGGCTCAAAATACGGAGCCGCTCCCCGGCCGTCCCGGGCGCCTGTCACGCGGGCCGATGGCCCAGCCGTCCTGTGAGTGGCTGGAGCGAAGGGGGGAGAGCTCAGGAGGGCGACGGGGCAGGGAAGGGGGCGGCGATGCGGTGCGGCGGGGTCTACTCGGCGGCGTGTAGAGAGGAGGTGCTAAAAGGCGACTATAAAGAGGCGTCTACGGGTGATATGGTGCGCCACGACGGCGGGAGAGCTCTCTCCCGCCGCCCCGCGGGCCGCCCCGAGGGGCCTCGCAGCCCACGCGCTCAGGCGCCGCTGTCGCGGGCAGAAGCGCAGCAGTGAAGGTGTGTCGGCCGCCATCTAGAGCGAGCCGAACCGGTCGGGTAGGGGAGGCAAGCGCGAGCGGGTGGAGGGCAGTCTCGACCCGCCTACGGCGTTGTGGTGAGGGTGGGTATGTGGGCGACCTTCCATTGAGTCAGGAGCGTCGCCGCGCGCCGCCATCGCCCGCCGTGTGCCTCTCTGCCGGTGAGCGCGCGACGCAGGCACCTATCGTCAGAGGGGGGGGAGGGTGAAGCGCGAGCGTTTCGTCGACCTAGGAGCCGCGGCAAGCGGCATGTAGCCGACTGATAGCACCTACTCGGGCCTAGACCGGTCCCCTTCCGAGCGATGAGTCGCAGTATCGGCTCTGAGACGAGGGTTTGGGCTCCGCGATGGGCAGCGGCGACTAGAGCCTTGCGCAAGTTGGTCCACTTGCTCTAGCTGCGATCCATTTCGCGCGTGGAGTTTTGCCGAACTATGGTGTGCAAAGGCTGCTGGTGTGGGGCGACCGGGTCTCACAGTGGGGCATCGCGCGTGGGGCAGAGGCCAGAAGCCCTGCGTGTCGACCAGCGAGTCGGGGTGCATCGGCTGCCGGCGTGTGTGTACGATCGAGGATGACGCTACGAGGGTCGCCCCCCCTGGCTGACAGCCCTGACGCCCTTCACTTCGCCGAAGCCGGGAGTGGCATATGCGCTGCGTCACGCTCACGAACAGCCGTGCGCAAGTGGCGATGAGCGAGGGCTATGAGTGCAACGCGCTGAGGCGGAGCTGACTTTGCTCGATTTTGGCTCTCCTCTCGCTCGAGACTTTCTTCGCGCTGCACAACGACGAGGCGGGCGGCGAGGCGGCGGGCGCGGGCGAGGCGCGCTGGCTGCGCGGGCGCGACCGCGCCGGCCGACCCACCGCCGTCTTCTTCGCGGACCGGCACCGCCCGGGCCAGATCCCGACCGAGACGTGGCGGCGCTTCGTCGTCTACAACGCCGAGGCGGCCATCCGGGACCTCGGCGTGGCGGACGGGCCGGGAGGCCAGTTCAGCCTCGTGGTGGACCGGTCCTCCTCGGGCGTGCGCAACCAGGACCCGGCGCTCGCCATCGCCGTCCTCCCGGCCCTCGTGCAGCATTATCCCGGCCTGCTCGGAGAGGTGATCGTGGCGCCCGTCAACGGCGTCTTCTGGGCCGTCTGGCGCGTCGTCTCGCTCTTCCTCGCGGAGGAGACCACGCGGCGCTTCACCTTCATTCGAGGTGCGCGGTGGAGGGAGGCGCTGCTCGAGGCGGTGGGAGGCGACGTGGAGCTGCCCGAGCACATGCGGCCCGCTGGTGACGGTGTGTAAGCTGTGTGTAGGGGTTATGCGGCGGGTGCTTTGTACCTTTGACGCATGTGTGTGACGCGTACGTAAAGCTGCATTTAACACAACGGCATTTCACAGCACCTAATCAACAGCACAAACCACAATGGACACCTCTCCTGATGTGTACAGTCAGACAGCAAACTCAGGTCTCAGCGAGTTCCGACGCGCTCGTCGGTGACGGTGTCCCCGGATTTCGCCGCGCTCGGCGAACCTCGACAGCGCCTTCGGTGGCATGCAGCTCTTTTTGCGCCTGAAGCTTGGAGAGCAGCTCCTCTGCTGCTCACACGCTCTGCACAGATGGCACAGCCTACTGTGCGGCTGCCACAGCTGTGACAGCGATGGGCTCGCCCTCACTGGCCCTCAGTCACTTGTGCTGCGGCTCGTTGTGTGAGCGACACTGCTCGGCGACTGCCGGCACACTGTGAGACCATGGCGAAATCCTGCGATGCGAACTGCATGGTCTCCGCGGCGATGTGGAGTGCGACGTGATAAAATTCGGCGACCTCGATCATGCAGTACGAAAGCTTGAGCCGCTGCTGCGGGATCAGGGTTCACGTTGTCGCACGGCACGAGCTTTCCGCTCTCGTCGATCTGGAAGCGCAGCGAGTCGCCCACGTCGTTGGCGAAGCCATTCGCCCCTTCCAAAAGTGGAACGCTGTACTCCGCCCCCTTGTGCGGCTGCAGAAGCTCCCAAAGCTCGGGGTGGTTGTGCCGCAGGACGGCGGACTGTTCGCACGAGAAGATGTACTCCCCGTTTTCATACGCGAGCAGCTTGGAGAGCCACGTGTCCTGGAAAAAGGCGGCCAGCCGCTTCAGCGCCGGCCCGTTGAGCAGGTCTTCCACCTCGCTCGGCTGGCAGGCCTTGGTTGCCTGAGTGTTTCGCCTTGACTGTCTCGAGCAGCGCCGAGGGCGATTCCGTTTGCTGTCTTGATTGAACACACACACACATTGATTGAATTGGGATCGGATTGATTGAACGTGAACAGCTCGTCGGCGTCGCCCGCCGCCGCCCGCCTTTCCGCGGGCACGGTAAGGTAAGGTAAGGTAGATTTCTCCACACACACAAAGTGGTGGGGCAAGGGGGGGCGACCCTCGCATCTCCACGCCCGGACACGGGCAGGAGCCCCACGGCATTCAAAGTGCAAGCACTGGCCCGGTGCACGTGGGTGAGCAGCCTGCCCCTCCCTCCCGCGACAAACCAACTCCCGCACACACACAATCGCACTCTGGCCATCGAATGACTCCGAATGACTCACTGTGTGTGCTAAGACAGAATCTCCGCAGACATCCAAAACGGGCCGTGCCGCGTTGTCGGGCACGGTGCGCACCGCCTCCACCGTCCACGCCTCCCGCAACGCCGCGCCCCGGCCCTCGCCGAGCCGCTGGAATGGTCCGCCGCCGTCGGCGTTCGCCGCCGCCGCGGCCCAGGCCGCCGCGGTCAGCGCCGCGCCCTGACCGACAAACGCGCACAGCGGATCCCGCGGCATCTGGCCAACCGCCTGCCTCGCCCCGCGGTGGCCAGACCCTCTTCCACCCTTTGTGCAATCGCGCTTGTTACGCCTGATCGCATCATCGATTCATTATCTTACGTCCGTCCCGCCGCCCGCCGCGCGGCCAGACTCCACATCACATAATTGTAAACGAACATTGATGGGAAGGCGAAACACAGTCCGACCAACGACTGGGACACCAACGCGGTATGGGTGGACGCTAGACGGGCGATGACGGACGGTCAGTCGGTCACACAGGAGCGACACACAGAACCACAAGACAAGACACTCAGCCAAACTGACTGCCACACATCCTGAGCGAACTTCCCTAGTCACCCGCGGCCGGACTCCATCCGGCACGCGTCGCTGGGCGCTCAGAGCTGTCTGTCACCGAGGAGGAAGGTGGTGACGAGGAAAAGAGAAATTTCCTGTAGGAAAGAGAAACCCTGCCACGCCTCCCGCTCGCCCTCCCCAGGGCCCCACATTGATGCGTCGCGTCGCGCTCCGATTCGCCTCGCGACGACCGAGTCTGGCTACCTCTGGCCGCCGGCTGCTGTGCAGCAAGACGCCTAGCGATTCAGAGCCGGTGTCGGTGCCCTTTTTGCGGCGAGTCGGCGCTCCGGAGGGCGGCGAAAAGGGCGGCGAAAAAGGCGGCGAGGAAGGAGAATCGTTAATTCGCTTCGGCGACGACGAGGAAAGTGAGGACGGCGAGGCGGAGCCCAAGTCGACGGCCGAGCCGGCCGAGCGTCTGGGCGACGGACGTGAGAGCCCGAGCCGGCTCGACTCGCGGCTCCTGCTGCCACTGGAAAGCGAGGACTCGCGGAAAGTGAGGTCCAGCTGGCAATCGCGCGCCGGAATGGTCGCCGCCGCCGCCGGCGTGGGCGTGCTCGGTTGGAACCACGCACCCGCGCTGCTGCCCTACGGGCCAGACGTCGTCGGCGCGGCGCTCGTCGTGGGTGGGCTGGGCGCGGCTGCATCGGCACGGAGCCGGTTGGGAGGGTCGGGCGGCGGCGGCGGCGGCGGCGGCGCGCCCGAGGAGAGCGCTCTCGAGGTGACTGTGCCGCGGGACCTGGCTACTGGCGAGGGCACCGGCGTGGAGCTTGAGGTGGTGCCTCAGTACGCGGCGCAGGTCACAGGCGACGTGGCGGCGGCGGCAGGCCCGGTGGAGGCGAAGCTCGCCGACGCCGAGAAGTTCGAGGAGAGAGAGCTCGAGAAGCGGAAGGCGCTACAGATGAAGGCCGCCGCCGGGAGAGAGAGAGGAGAGAGCCGTGGCGAGGAGGCGAGAGCCTCTCCTCCCCGCCAACCTTAGAATCTGGAGGAGGAGGTGGAGAAGGAGCTCCTCGCCGGCGCCTCGCCTCGGAGAGTGCGCCAGCGGCTGAGCCCCAAAGTGTGGGTCGTCGACTGGGACGTCCGGCCGGCGCCGGTCGCGGCAGGAAGCCCGCCTCGACCGCCGCTGATGCGAGACATGCTCAACACTCTGCGGGCGCAGGCCCGAGCTTGCGCCCTTCCCCGCCCTGCCCCGCCCCTCTCTGGACAGGAGTGCGAAGGAGTGCTGACGTGAGTCAGAGCCGCAGGTGTCCTTCCTGCTAGCGACGGCGAGCCCGTACGACGAGGTGGTCGTGCGGATCACGTCGCCGGGCGCGCGTGAGCGACTACGGCAGAGTCTCTGCGGGAGAGGTGATGGACGTGTCCTGGACATGTCCTCCAGGCGGACCAGTGAGCGACTACGGCCTCGCGGCCTCGCAGCTCGGCCGCCTCCGCTCCGCAGGGCTGCCAACCACGGCGTGCGTCGACCTGGTCGCTGCGAGCGGCGCACTCGGCTGCCGCCGCAGACCTGCGCAGCAGGGACGCGCCTGCCGAGACGCCGCCCCTCTCCCCTCAGGCGGGTACATGATGGCCTGCGTCGCCGACAAGCTCCTCGCCGCCCCGTTCGCGTACGTCGGCTCCATCGGAGTCGTCGGCGGGAGCCCAAACGTGCACAAGGCAATCTCACTGCGCTATCATGCAAGAGGATAGAATATCGTATAGGAGCCCAAACGTGCACAAGCCGGTTCGCCCGCACGGAGCCCGCGGGGGCCGGACCGCCCTCCCGGCTCCTCCAGCTGGGCTCCTCCTCGAGGCCTCCTCCTCCTCGAGCCCTCCCCCGCCCGGCCGCAGGTGCTCGAGCGGGCGGGCGTCGAGGTCGTCCAGAGGACGTCGGGGCGCTTCAAGCGGTCGCTGCAGCAGTTCGAGCCAAACACGCCCGAGGGGCTGCAAAAGTACCAGGAGGAGATCGACGCCATCCACGCCGCCTTCAAGGCGACCCGCACTCGGAACCGGTCCGGCTCCATGGACGTGTCCGGGACGTGTCCCTCCTCCTCCCCCGCAGGTGCACGTCTCTACCAACCGCCCCTCGCTCGACATCGAGGTGCCTCGCGGCGGGAGAGGCCTTCTCTCGCGGGGACACGTCCACGACACGTCCACGACACGTCCACGACACGTCCACGACACGTCCACGACACGTCCACGACACGCCCCCCCCGCAGGCGGTGGCGACGGGCGAGTCGTGGCTCGCTCTGCACGCCCTCGACCAAGGGCTCGTCGACGGACTCTGCACCGCGGACGCGTACCTGCGCACCCGCTCCGCAGACGCCGCGGTGCTGCTCGTGCGCGCAAAGCCGCCCAGGCGCACCGGCCTCGCGGCCCTTCTCTCCCGCGGCGTCGAGGGCGCAGCCTCCGCCGCAGCGGCGCTCGCCGAGCTGGCAGGCGCCGGCCGAGGGCTCGCGAGCCAGCTCTCCTCCCGCCTCCGCCCCAGCGCCTCGCTCGCCGGGCAAGGGCTCGCCTCGGGCGCGGCGAGCGGCGCCTCGCCGACAGAGGCACCGCCGAGCTGAACCGTCAACGTGGACCTCGCCCCGTGATAGCCGTGTGTCCCGGAGGAGTACGGCCGCGAGCACCGCGTCTCACACGTCGCTTCTCCTCGCACAGCACTCAGCAGTCAGCACACTGCCGCTGCTGCGCCTGCGGCGCCGCGCTCGGAGTGCGGGTCAGGAGGCCCTAAAACGGTGGGAGGGGTAGGGGTGCCGCTGTAGGGGTGTGGAGGGGTCGGGAGGGCGGGAGTGTGGACCGTGACCTAAAGCCCTCCACCGATAGAGGTGTCAGGCGGCAGGGCCCAGGAGGGGTGGGGGCTTGGAGGGCTGGCCAAAAGCGAGGCGTGGGAGGGGTCCAGTGGGCTAGAGAGGGCTGGAGGGGTCGGAGGGGGCTAGAGGGGCCGGAGGGGCTGTGCGGATGGAGGGGTCTGGAGGGCTCGGGGGGCTTGGAGGGCTCGGAGGGTGTCGTCCGGCAAGAGGGTCCCTAGCGCGAGGGGTGGGGCTCGGGAGGGGTGGAGAGCTCGGAGGGCTCGGAGGGCTCGGAGGGCAGAGAGGCACGAGGGTGGCGCTGGAGGGCTCGGGAGGGCTCGGGAGGGCTCATGAGGGATGGAGTGCCCGGAGGGCTCGGAGGGGCGAGCCACCGAGCCGGGCTCGGGGGGCTCGGAGGGGTCGGAGGGGTCGGAGGGGTCGGAGGGGTCGGAGGGCTCGGGGGGCTCGGAGGGCTCGCGGAGGGGTGTGGAGGGGTCGGAGGGGTCGGAGGGGTCGGAGGGGTCGGAGGGGTCGGAGGGGTCGGAGGGGTCGGAGGGGTCGGAGGGCTCGGGGGGCTCGGGGGGCTCGGAGGGGTGTGGAGGGGTCGGAGGGGTCGGAGGGGTCGGAGGGGTCGGAGGGGTCGGAGGGGTCGGAGGGGTGTGGAGGGGTGTGGAGGGCTCGGAGGGCTCGGTTAAAGATACCCTGCAGGCATACGGAAGTGGCGTTTCCGTGGTCTGTGCGCGGACGGCCCGGGGAGGATCCTGCGGCGCTATTTTAACCTGCCCCGACAGAGTCTCTCGATACGGCGCGCGGCGGCGCCGCACCCAGCAAGCTGGGGCCGCTCCTTACGGACTCGTCGCTGCGCTCCTCAAGGCAAACACGAAGCGCGTTTGGTCGAAATACCTGGGGTTTCTCCGCTAAAACGGAAGCGCCACACAGCCTCCAGACACACACACTCATATGGAGCTCCTCGCTCGCCCGCCTGGCGGCGGCAGCGGCCATGGCGACGCTGACGGCGGCGGCACTCGTGGCGGTGACACTCGTGGCCGCGGCGGCGCCTGGGCAGCAGAGAGAGCTGTCGCTGCAGTGCTGGCGGCAGCTGGCGGCGGCGGCTGGGGGCGGCGGCTGGCGGCGACATTGCTGGCGGCAGCCATGCGGGGGCGGCGCTGCTGTGGCGGCGAGGCGGCGGCGTTGCAGCGCCCTGCCGCAGCAGGCCCGCCCGGATAGCACTGGCAGTCTGCCGGCGCGGCCGGCGCATTCGAATGCGCCCGCCGCGCCGGCAGACTGTTGGATGGCCACAGTCGCGAACGTGGGTGAAGTCGTGCGGCGCAGAGACCAGCTCATTCGCCGTCGCCGGTCCCTCGATCACGTGCGCCGTCGCCGTTGACCCGCGTCCATGGGCGGGCAGCAGGCCTGCAGCCCTCCAGCCCTCTAAACCCCTCCGACCCCTCTAACCCTCTCGTGGGGCACTCGGAAGCGCCGCGCCATTCTTTTTTTGCGAACCCTCCCGGAGGCCCTTCCGACCCCTCTCGAGCCCTCCCGCCACGAAGATCCTCTCTTTGTCCGACCGTCCCTCCGAGCCCACCCGGCGACCGAGCCCTCTTGCCTACCACCCGAGCTCGGGGGGGCGCGAGCCCTCCTGGACCCCACCACCCCTCCCGCCTCGCCCAGCCCTCCTGACCCCTCTCCCCGGTGGACCGCTCCACCCTCCCAGCGCGCTAGCCCTATGGGACCCTGTGGAGCCCTCCCGACGCCGATCCGACGGGGACCCCTCCAGCCCTGTGGGCTGGCGAGCCCTCCGGTCGGAGGGGTGGAAGTGGGAGGGCTCGAGGACGGACCCCTCTCGCTCCGGGAGGGTGGAGGGGTGGAGGGTGGAGGGGTGGAGGGGTGGTTGAGCCCTCTAGCTCTATCGATTTAGCCCTACCCCTCCCGCCGTTTTAGGGCTTGCTGACCCGCTATGCGCGCTCGAGTTTGGCAAGGCTGGGCATCCAAGACCAAGAGCGGGTGTGACGTGGTGTGCGACCGCCTTTCCCTTGAACACTTCAAGTCTAACAAATAAATAACAAAAAGAGACTCGTGGCACTCACCGCGCAAGGACGTGCACGGTTGGCGCAGGCGGCAACCACACCTCACACGCACACCTGATCGCTGATGGCCCAGCGAGGGCAGGACACAGCTAACTAGCACCCACCCACGAGACCACGCGCCGCAAACGAGCAGCCGACGGCGTGGCAAGGTGGGACAGCTCGGCGAGGTGGGCGTCTCTCATGCCGCCTTCTCGACAGGCGCCTGCATGTGCTTGTTGGAGGAGAAGCGGCGGTTGAGAGCGTGCGCCTCCTGCTCCGCCTTCTCCGGCTGGGCGAGGACGGGCCCGAAGTAGGGCGTGACGTACCACAGGGCGCCGGCAGCAAAGCCGCTTCCAATGACGAAGCGGGTCGCGTTGTCCCAGAAGAAGGAGTGGAGAGGAGCCATTGGTTGTGTCGAGAGACCTGCGCGCAGGGATAGGCGCCGCTCTAGTGCAGAAGGCGGGGGCGCGAGCAGCGGGACGGAGGGGGCGGGGCCGCCGGGCCTCACAGCCCCACGCACCTTTGATAGCAATCAGGGGCAAGTCTTTTTATGCGGCGCGTTTTCTTTTTTTAAGCGAAAGCGGCTCAGCCAGAGCACGTGTTTCATTGACACTAGTTTCACTCTGATTCACTCCATGTACCTTCGGTGAGAGACTATGGAGAGTTCACGTCATGACGGTTAGCCGCTGTCATGACGGTTAGCCGCTGTCATGACAGCTGCCAGCTGTCATACAGCAAACGACAGCGACAGTGACACCTACCTGTCACCAGCTGTCACCAGCTGTCACCAGCTGTCACCAGCTGTCACCAGCTGTCGTTGCTGCTGTCGTTGCTGCTGTCGTTGCTGCTGTCGTAACCATCCCCGACGGTCCAACTGTCACTGCTGCTGTAATTGCGCAGCTGTCATTCCTGCTGTCATTGCTGCTGTCATCGCTGTCGTTGCTGCTGCTGTGCTGTCATTGCTGCTGTCATTGCTGCTGTCATTGCTGCTGTCATTGCTGCTGTCATTGCTGCTGTCATGAGCACCCCCGCAGGACAGTGTGTGGTGCCACTAGCGAGAGAGACAGGACACTCAAGATATAGATGCATGCGCGCGAGACCGCTCACTCGCACGCCCGACGCCACATGAGAAGCCCTCTCAACAGTAGCCACGCACGGTCAGCAGCAGCGGGCGTGAGTCGGAGAATCTGCAAAACCCTTGCCCTCCTTCCTCCAGCATGTGCCGTGATGGGCTCCAGCGCTGGTTCATCTGCCGCTCAAAAATCTCACGCGAGCGAACGGTGTCAATCCTCAGCCGCGAGGATTGGGACCTTGAAATCCACGATCACAAGCAAACGCGCAGAGCATTGAGCAACACACCTCGGGTTGAACCTCTCAAGGTGCATGCTGTCACCGGCAGTCTGCATGCGCGCGTGTGGGCTGGAGGAAGGCACGGCGCGCGTGGCTGGCGTTCACTGTGCGAGTCAAAGCGCACCGGCCACGGTGGCCATTGCCGAGCCACAAGTGGCGTTGATCAGGAACTCTCATGTAGAGAGCTCTGCTCTGCTACAAGAAAGCAGGCTCACCCTACACAGAGAAATTCTGAGGCAGAGGAGCAGGAGTTTTGCAAAATGTGTGAGACGTACAAACGCTGCTGTGCAACAGGCGTTGAGAGCTACATCCACGCGCACCGGTGTCTTATTTTAGTCCATGGGGTGTACTGCACAGATGGGTGGGTGGGCGGTTGGGCCCGTTCACGAGGGCTATGGCTGCCTCACGGCTGTGCCTGTGGCGCTGCCTCGCTGTCGCTGTCGCTGTCGCTGTCGCTGTCGCTGTCGCTGTCGCTGTCGCTGTCGCTGTCACTCGCGGGGCCCCGCGCTGACATTGTCACCGCCTGTCGTTGGCATTCACTGGCTTCACTGTCACTGTCACTATGGCTGTCACTGTTCCTGGTGCCTTTCACTCCTCCTTGGCAGCGGCTGGCTGTCACCAGCTGTCACCAGCTGTCACCAGCTGCCACCAGCTGTCACCAGCTGTCGTTGCTGCCGTCGTTGCTGCTGTCGTTTCGCAGCCGCTGTCATGACATATTGACCACGTCATGACGGTTAACAGCCGTTTTAACCGTCATGACGTGAACTCTCCATAGTCTCTGAGGGTACATTGGCGTCTGCAGGGCGTAATACATTGGTGTAAAAGGAGACTCCTGTAAAAGAAAGAAAGAAAGAAAACAGACAACCCAAGGGAGGGATGGGAGACTCTGTACATGTAATCGCGCGCCTCAGGGCCAAGAATTCTTCCGTGCCCACCCAGCTCGTCGCGGGCACCACTCGCTTGCCATGGCGATTGGCAGCGAGGGCACCGACCTGGTGGCGTACATGGTCCTCTTCATACCGCTCGAGTTTCTCATGACCAGCCGTCGCTTCAACAAGGACGGAAACCGGCAGCGCGCGGTCGCGCTGCCGCTCGCGCTGCTGGCGATCTTTGCGGCCGTCAAGATTGGATACGAGCTGCAGCGCAAGACGCCGAGCTACTACGACATGATGGAGGTGGCGCCCACGGCGCCGTACGCCGAGATCAAGAAGGGGTACAAACGCATGTCGCTCAAGGTCCACCCTGACAAGGTGATGGAGCGCGCGGACGTCGACGAGGACGAAGCGAGCGAGGCGTTCCGCGCGCTCAAGGCGGCGTACGACGTGCTCAACGACTCGCAGCTGCGCGACGTCTACGACAAGTTTGGCCCCGCCGGAGTCGAGAGCAAGGACGACACGTGCGCTCGGCCCTACCGCCACCGCAGCTGCAGCCGCAGCCGCCGCCACAGCCTCGGCTGTTGGCCTGCTGACGCGTCTGGCTGCGGCGCCCGCCCCGCAGGTCTGCTCTGCTCGCGGGCCTGGGCTTCTTTTACGTGACGTGGCTTGCCCTCGCCTACCTCGTGAGTGCTGCGCGCTCCATTTCATCTCGCTCTGTCTCTGTGTCTCTCTCTCTCTCACACACACACACACACACATACACACACACACACACACACACACACACACACACACACACACACACACACACACACACACACACACACACACACACACACACCTATGTCTGTCTCTGGCTGCTTGTCTCTCTCACAACACACACCTCGGGTCCAGAGAAGGGTGGGCGAGGGAGGCCGAGGGGCCGTGTGCGCGTGCTCCGTGCTCAGGTGACGCAGTCAAAGTGAATAATTAATGAATGAATGAATGAATGTGCTCAGGTGACGCAGTCCAAGTCGGTCAGCCGCGCGCAGACTTGGGGCTTCACCGGCCTGCTCGCCCTGGCCATCTTCGAGTACCAGGCGAGCTGCCCTGCACTGTGTCCCTGCTCGCCACACCCCTCGCCTCGGGCTGTCTCGGAGGGAGAGGAGAGGAGGAGAGGAGAGGAGGAGAGGAGAGCCCGGTGTCTGCTCGGCTGCAAGGCGACCATCCTCGCCTTCGACTTCCTCGAGGATCAGCTGCCCAACCTCGCCATGTTCGAAAAGGAGCGGCCCCGCCCACTCCCCCTCCACCCTCGCCCTCACCCTCACCCTCTCCCGCCCCTGCCCCTGCCCCTGCCCCGCCGCACCCCTCCCTCCTCACGCCCCTCCCTCCTCACGCCCCCTCCCCTCACCCCCCGCCCCTCACCCCCCCCTTGGGAGATGGAGTTCCTCCACCGCCTTTACCCGCCCTTTTTTTTTGCGGGGGGAAGGGGGGGGCCCCCCCAAAAACACCGGCAAAGGCACCGTTTTAAAAAAGGCACCCCCCCCCCCCCAACATTACTCCCCCCCCCCCCCCCCTCCCACCCGCACACGCCCGGCCGCCATTGCGCCCCGCCCCGCCGCCTTCCACGCCGCAGGTCGCCTGGCTCCTCTACCACGACATCGACACCTACAACGCCCTCGTCCTGCAGCGCCTCCACGCAAAGACAGACCTTCTCCTCCGCATGACGCGCGAAAACTACGTCGCCGTCAGCCAGGGAGCGAGGGCGGGCGCAGCGCCGGCCGACGCCGCCGCTGCAGACGCTGGCGCGGCGCCGTGGAGTGGCCCGACCCAGGCGCCGAGAGACCGCCGAGACGTAGCCGTGAATGGCCCTCCCCCTGACGCGCACGGAGGGGGAGGGGAGGGGAGGGGTGCCGCCCTCTAATCGCCGTCGAGACCTTGCGCCCCCTGTCGCGGCGGCGCGAGGGCCGTGGCGGCGCCACACCTTGCGCGCCGCGCGCTCTCTCTCCTCTCCCAGCCCGCCGCCTCCCGCCCCCCCAGGCTGCGGCGCTCGACGAGGCGCCCTTCCGCCCACTGCACGCCGCAAACACGCTCGGCAGCTCCGAGGCGGCGGCCGCCGCCAAGGCGGCGGCGGGCATGCCGAGCAAGCCTCCGCAGCAGCAGCAGCAGGCGAAGGGCGGCGGGCGGTCGATGACGAGCCTGATCTACTTCTTCGGCGTCTACTTTTTCTTCCAGTGGCTGGTCGGGCGAGGCTCGTAGGGGGGGCGAGGGAGGCACGTGCGCATGCCGCGCGAGATAACACGCACAGAGAGAGGCAGCGAATTAACAGATAGAGCGAGTTGCGCTTGCGGGGCGCGACTCCTCCCGCGCTCTCCGACCTTTTCATTTCGGTGCGGCCGCCCCGTAGCCCGGGATCCGATCTCGCAAGGAGTTTTTCGTTACTGTAAAGAGAAAACACTTACACCACTCGAGTTGTACATGCACGTCTCGTCGCCGGACGCCGCGCGAATAAGCCAACAGCCAAAAGAGGGGACGGCAAGGGCCCCGCAGGACACAAGGCGTGGACACGTCTGACGATTGCTCGCTGTGTTGGCAGCAGCAGGTGGGTCACACGGTTCCGCCCAGTCGACCAAGCGATCTCTCAGACACTGAGACGGACGAGACCGTCGTCGTCGTCGTCGGGGGGCGAGTCGTCAAAGTTTCTCGCGACGGCGGCCACCTCGGACTGCAGCTGCGCCGGCGCCTCGCGGCTGTCCTGCTCGATGACGTGGATGGTGCCGTCCTTGACCTCGACCAGCGCGATCGACTCGAGCGGGATCTGGTACCCGGAGAGGAAGGCGCGGCCCGCGTCGGCCGCCTTCTCTATCAGGAAGCCGCCGCCGACCACGTTTGCGTTCGCCATCTTGCACAGCCGCACGAGCGCGTCGGCGGTGCGGCCGCCGGCGAGGAAGTCGTCGATGATGAGCACGCGGTCGGACGGGTTGAGGTACCTGGCGCGCCACGGGTGGGTTCGGGTACCGTCGGGTAGGGGAGGCCGGCGCGGCGGGAGGGGCGGCGAAGCAAGGGGCGGCGAAGCACTCTGTCGAGACGTACAGGTCCTATCTCGGCTAGATCTCGGCTAGATCTCGGCTAGATCTCGGCTAGATCTCACTCTGTCGAGACGTACAGGTCCTGCGGCGTCGAAGCGACGGTCGACTTGTACGACGTCTGGTACGAGTCTGAGATCGAGATCTGGCGCTGCTTGCGCGCAAAGACGCACGGCAACGAGAGCGCCTTTGCGACGAACATGGCGGGCAGCAGGCCCGTCGCCTACAGGACATGTCGGGGACGTGTCACGGACATGTCTAGGAGATGTCGGCAGGGCGGGGCAGCAGGCCCGTCGCCTCGACGGTGAGGACCTTAGTCGGCTGCTGCTTCTCGAGCCGCTCGGCGAGCTCCTCGCCGCACGCCTTGCGGCAGGGGGGGGGAGGGTGGGGAGGGGCAGGCGCGGGGGGGGAGGCGCGCTGCCGTGCCGCGGCCGCCTCCATCATCTCGACGTCGACCATGTGGTTGACGAAGCTGGACACCTGCGGGGAGGTGCAGAGGTGAGGGGAGGGGGGGGAGGGGGTTGGGAGGGGGGGGGGTTGGGAGGGACCTGGGAGGGGGGGGAGGGAGGGAGCGCGCCTTGAGGATGTCCGCGTCGAGGACGGTCGCCTCTCGCAGCAGCCGCTCCTTGAGCAGCGTCTGCCCCGCCGTCTTCTTGCGGCGGGTGCCGTGCCGCTCCTGCACCTGCATCTCGTAAAACTCGTCGAAGGCGGCGTTGCCGACGAACTCGAGTCCGAGCGCCTGCACCGCGCGCCTCGACGTCAGAGACGCGGCCGAACCCCGCCACCATACCCTCCCCCCCCCTACACACCGCCAAAGTGTACCGCTTGGGTGGGGTTCCCCCCCCCCCCCCCCCCTTCCCGCCCCTCCCCCCCACCTCGCTGACCTCGAGCGAAACCCCGACCTCCCCCCTCTGACCTCCCCCCCTCTCGGCTGCCTCTCGGCTGTCTCTCGGCCGGCGCGCTCACCTCGCTGACCTTGACGAAGAGCGCGTTGTGCGCGGAGGTCTGTGCGATCGTGGCGTGCTCCTACGGAGGCGCCGGCGAGGTGACCGCACCGGCGCACCCGGCGGGGCGGCGGGAAGCAGCCGCGGGCTCTCTCTCTCTCTCTCCCCGCTTCTCTCTCTCCTGCGCTGCAAAGGCGACAGGCATCCGGAGCTCTCCGTAGCCGTGCAGCGCGAGCTCGTCAGAGACGAATGCCGTCTCGGTCACAAACACAACCTCGCGCCCCTCCTCCGACACCGGCCGCGCCCTCCCGATGAGCGCCTCGATGCAGCTCTCGTCCGACTCGACGAAGACGCGCTCCGACGCCTACCGCAGCAGCAGCAGCACCGGGGTGGGCCGCAGCACCGCACCACCCCGCCGCCCCACTCGCCTCGGCCATGGCGCCGGCTTCTGAGCGGTCGCCTCGACGTACACCATCGTCGACTCCGCAATCGCCGCCAGGCCGGTCGCCTCGTGCACGGCGCGCGCCTGTGGAAGGGGGGCAGGGGAGCGGGGAGGGGTAGGGGAGGGGAGCGGGGAGGGGGAGGGGAGGGGAGCGGAGGGAGGGGTCGGGGAGATTGCCTTGAGGTGCGCCCGGTCCTTTGTGAATAATATTAGAGAGACTGTCTTGTTGTATGTGCCTTGAGGTGCGCCCGGTCCTTAGTGCTCAGGTCGTCTGAGGTCGAGTGGCCGAGCGAGGCGAAGTCTGCGAAGTTGCGGTGGAGGAGGACGCGCCTAGGGGTGGCTCCGAGGAGGGGTCCGGGGCTGGCGGAGGGCTGGAGGGGGGGAGGGCTCCAGCTGCACGCGCAGGTTGGCGTAGGTCTGCGAGATCATGCTGAAGCGGCGCTCGGGCGTGGCGCACGCGAAGACCTGCCCGTGGCGCAACAGCTACTGCTTGAGCTACCTTGGTACTGCTTGAGGAGCGCAGGAACAGGCTCGGGCGTGGGGCTGTGGGTAAAGACCTGCAGCCACTCCGACGCGGGGAAGAGCTCGGGCGGCGCCTCGGCCTCCCCGCGAGACGCGGCGCGCAAGTACTCCTGAGGCAGAGCCGGGGGCGGGGGCAAGCGGGGGAGGGGGGCGGGGGGGGGCGGGGTCGCCAGTGAGGGCTTTGGGTTTGGGGTGGTGGGGGGGGAGGGGCACGCGGGGCGCACGAGGAAAGAGGGCGGGTTGGTGTGCGCGTAGTGTGGCAGCGCGGTGGCGGTGCGGGGCGCGGGGTGGCTGCGGGGCCGGCGGCGGGCGGCGCGAAGGCGCTGCTGCGCTCGACCTGCAGCGAGTCGGACAGCGCGGCCGCGTCCCCGCTCCGCGCGCCCTCGCTCAGCGGCAGGTCATGCGAACGCGCCGCCGCCGCCGCCTCCTCCTCCTCGGCGGGCGGCGGCGGTGCGGCGGGAGCTGCTGCTGCGGAGGGCGTCGCCTCTGCCGTCCGCGCCGACGCCTCCCTCTCCGCGGTAGACAGCCAGCTCTCCGCCTCTGCTCGCGCGGCTGCCAAGTCTGCGGCGGCCAGGTCGGACCCCGACGGCGCCTCCTCGCCGCCGCCACCCCCGTCCGCCGCCTCCGCCTCCTGCGCCTTTTTGATCATCGCGCGCAGCTCGAACTCGTCGTACCCGACGTACGCCTCCGTCGACCCCGAAGCATACCCCGACCCTCCTACAGGGCCGACCGGAGATCCGTCACCGCTGTCCGCTCCCTCCCGCCAGCCTCGCAGCCAGAGCCGCCGTCGTAGCCTGCGTCGGCCGCCTCGAGGGCCTCGTCCACGAAGGCCTCCCAGTTGGGCCCGTACTTGCGCTCGAGCAGCTGCGGCAGATACATCTCCACGGAGTCGACCTAAACACGCCCAGACAGCGCCGCGCGTGACAAGAGAGGAGGCCGCCACGCCGCGGCGAGGACGACGCGCCTCCTCCCACGCCAGGTCCTCCGCCGTCCCCTCGGGCTCGACCCAATCCTCCTCGTCGTCCCCAGCGGCCGCAGCGCCTCGCCCTGCCGCCAGCCCGTCTGCCTCTGTCACACGCGGCAGCTCGCCAGCCGCATCTGCACGCGCCGCGCCGGAAGCGACCGCCGCGCCGTCGGCTCCGCTGTCCGCCGCAGCCACGTCGATGGGGCCGCCGTCGAGAGAGGCTGCGTCGTCGTCGGCAAAGCGCACCGACACCTCCCAAGTCGCCGACTCCCAATTATCGTCATCGAGATCGGCGCTGGCGAGGAAGACTGCGGCACGGCGCGGACGCAGCCGGAGCTGCCGGACCGCCGACGGCGACTGCAGCGCTACCGCCTCGATCGCGAGCAGCGCGCAGCAGGGCCACATCCGCGGCAGACAGGCGGAGGCCCGACGGGGCAGCAGCCCGCGCAGGGAAAATTTCTTTTTTGTACAACTGTGTGTCTTAGGTATATTGCCCTTTTGTGGTAGGCGGTGCGCGCCAACAGAGCAGGGAGGCTCGGCCGGTGGCATCGGCGACACCCCAGGTCCAGGCGGGCCGCAAAATGGCCAAGGTCTGCGTCATCTCGCTCGGAAGCGAGTCGGCACCTCACATCGCCGAGTGTGTGCGCCAGGAGCTTGGCGACCGGTCGGCATCGGAGGAGTGGGAGACGTCGAAGGCGCCGGTGCTCGTGGTCGTCGTCGAATGCGAGTCGGATGGCGAGCCCTGCCCCGCTGCGCGCCAGTTTGTGCGCGCCCTCCGCCGATCCGAAAACTTTGCCAACTACTCGCAGTCCATCGGACGGCGGGCGGCGGTACTCGGCCTAGCTTCCTCTGTCTGCGCTAACTCGGCCGCGCAGTTGGGAGACGGCGACAAGTACACTGGTGCGTCCCGCGTCGAGCGGGCTCTCATCGCGGGCGGCTGCACCGCGCTGCTAAAGATGGGAACAATGGAGGCGTGCCCAGCTCCTTCCTCGCAAGCCATCTCCATCTCCCTGCCTCTTCCATCTGCCTCACTGCCTCACTGCCTCTGCTCGCCTGCTCTGCTCGCCTGCCACGGCGGCCTCGTTTCAGGGATCAGCTCGACGCCGCTCCCCTCACCGCCGCTCCTCTCCGACCGCCGACGCAGGTGGAGCTGCAGAGTCCCGAGGAGAGTGCTATTCCGTGGGCCAGAGCCGTCTGCGCGGCGCTGTGACGCTCCGTTTATTATATTGCACGGTGAGCGTCCGTCATCGTTTTGCATATATTGCAATATAAGACCCTGGGGCTCTAGGTGAGTAGGGGATGTCCTGGATATTACTCTCGTCCACATCTTACTTCTACCATGGCCACCAACCCTCCCTGAGTTCCCTGGCCGCTCACGGGCTCTTGGTGGGGTCAGCGTGCGGTGCTGAGTCTTACTCGTCGGCGCTGGGGCCAGATCCCAGCGCAGAACTCTGCAACGCTGGCATACAAACACAAGAAGACTAACCCTAACCCTAACCCTAACCCTAACCCTAACCCTAACCCTAGGTCAGCGTGTGGGGCTGAGTCTTAGTCGTCGGCGCTGTGGGGCCAGATCCCAGCGCAGTGCGCAGAACCCTGCAACGCTGGCATATACAGACACAACCAGACTAACCCGGACCCTGACCCTAACCCTAACCCTAACCCTAACCCTCTAACCCTAATAACCCTAACCTAACCCACCCCCCAACTCCACACCGCAAATTTGAAAGATCTTGATGAAAATCAGGCCCGACTGCAAATTTCTTCAAAATTTTCGCAGGCGCTCCGCGCCTGCAGATTTTGAAATAAATTCGACAAAATTGGTACCTGGCCCAAGTGCCGACAGCGACACAGACCATGTGGGACGCGTCGAGTATCGACCTCTACTGCTTACCCAGCCTTCGAGTGTACCCTGGCTATGGTCCCACACCTACTGGTGTCCATCTCAGAGACCGCAGGAGGTCATGAGGGTCGATGGGAGTGCCAACCCCACAATGCCTAAAAACCCAGCCCAGGGTACACTCTATGTACACACAACTCAGCCGGCGGCCCGCTCTATTAGACCGTTACCCCTTGCGCCTGGGGCCTGGACGGCGCTTTTGCCCACGCGGGCCCGCGGGGTCTACACCAATTCCCTGACTCCGCCAGAAAAAGCTAAAGACCGCGGCGACACGACACACAGTAATACACGAGATCACGATTTTTGGGCGTTGGCTAGGCCCCCCCCCTAAAGCCGGCTAGTCGAGCATCCTCCTGGCCTCTCCGGTCTCCGCCGGAGCGGGATCAGTCAGGAGGGGAGGGAGTGCCGCTTGCTGCACTCGGCAAGCCAGAGTCGGTCGTTCCTGCGACGGGGCGAGGCGGAGTCGACCGAGCGCGGGCGGGATCCAAGCGCATGACGGGTTGGGAGGAGGGAGGGACAGAGCACCTTTCGCAGGCGGGACTCCCAGAGGGGCGGCAGCGGAAGGAGCGGGCGCGACGGGAGGCTTCGGGCGCCACGCCGCCGGGCCAAACTGCTCCTGAAACGACGCCTGGCGAGACGCCTCAACGTCCAAAGGCACAGCTGCGCTGCCGCCCGCCGCGTCGCCTGCAGCCGCGCCGCTGCCTGCAGCTGCGCTGCCGCCGCCCGCCGCCTCGCCGGCCGGTGGCGCGGCCGGGGCTGGCTCCTCGCGAGGGGCTGGCTGGGGCGGCACCTCCACGCGCGGCTCCACAGCGGGCGCGGCGGCTTCGTCTCTCGCGACGC